AGCACCCGCACCTTGGTACATCTTAGCTATGATGGGGTTGCAGATTCCCTCGAGCTCCTTCATCTTATCCTCAAACTCATCAGCCTCTGCCAGCTGGTTCCCATCCAGCCACTGGATAGTGGACTCGATAGCATCCTCAATCTTCTTCTTGTCAGCAGCAGTCAGTTTGGAGGCAATCTTCTCATCCTTGACAGTGTTCCTCATGTTGTATGCATAGTTCTCGAGCGCATTCTTCGCCTCGACCTTCTTCTTGTGCTCCTCGTCTTCCGACTTGTACTTCTCAGCCTCCTGAACCATCTTCTCAATCTCATCCTTGGAAAGTCTGCCCTTATCATTAGTAATGGTGATCTTGTTCTTCTGGCCGGTTGTTTTGTCCTCAGCAGACACATTTAAGATACCATTAGCATCAATGTCGAAGCAGACTGTGATCTGAGGGACACCTCGTGGGGCCGGAGGGATGCCAGAAAGCTCGAATTTCCCGAGCAGATTGTTGTCACGGGTCCTCGTTCTCTCTCCTTCGTATACCTGAATCAAGACACCTGGCTGGTTATCCGAGTAGGTCGAAAAGACTTGCTCCTTCTTAGTCGGGATTGTAGTGTTCCTCGGGATTAACACAGTCATCACACCTCCAGCAGTCTCGAGGCCAAGAGAAAGAGGAGTTACGTCAAGAAGCAAAAGGTCTTGCACCTTCTCGTTACCTTCGCCACTCAAAATGGCAGCCTGGACAGCAGCACCATAAGCAACAGCCTCGTCGGGGTTGATGCTCTTGCAAAGCTCCTTCCCATTGAAAAAGTCTTGTAAAAGTTGCTGAACTTTCGGGATCCTAGTGGAGCCACCGACAAGGACAACGTCATGTACAGTGCTTTTATCCATCTTGGCATCTCTCAAACACTTCTCAACAGGCTCCATACACTTCCTGAAGAGATCCATGTTGAGCTCCTCAAACCTGGCTCGGGTGATAGTGGAGTAAAAGTCAACACCTTCATACAGAGAGTCAATCTCGATTGTGGTCTGGGCAGTAGAGGAGAGAGTCCTCTTCGCACGCTCGCAAGCGGTCCTCAGCCTCCGAAGAGCACGCGGGTTGCCGGTGATATCCTTCTTGTGCTTTCTCTTGAATTCCTGAACGAAATGGTTCACCATTCGGTTATCGAAATCTTCTCCTCCGAGATGGGTGTCACCAGCAGTGGCCTTAACCTCAAAAATTCCCTCCTCAATTGTCAAGAGAGAAACATCGAAAGTTCCACCTCCGAGATCAAAAATCAAGACATTCTTTTCACCAACACTCGTTGCCTTCTTGTCGAGACCATAGGCAATGGCTGCAGCTGTGGGCTCGTTGATGATTCGCATGACGTTGAGACCGGCAATGACACCAGCATCCTTGGTGGCCTGGCGCTGAGAGTCGTTGAAGTAGGCCGGGACAGTGACAACAGCATTCTTGACAGATGAGCCCAAGTAGGCCTCGGCAATTTCACGCATCTTCATGAGGACCATTGAGGAAATTTCCTCGGCAGCAAACTGTTTGTCCTCACCCTTGTAGTTAACAACTATCATGGGCTTGTCTCCCGGACCAGAGATGACCTTGAATGGCCATAGTTTCATGTCACCCTGCACAGATGCATCTGTGAAACGCCTGCCGATCAGCCTCTTGGCATCTGTAGAGACAAAGAAAACAGTTCATCAGCTGACAATGCAAGTAAAACTACAAGAAACTAGGAATCCGCAAAAACTAAAAACTTAACAATGTGAAACACATACTGAACACCAAATCATAACTACCATGTTAATTTACAAGATATAGATCACAACACATAACAAGCCAAGCCAGATATACTTCATTTACTGTAACAGACATCCATTTCGGATGCCTGGATAGGATGAAAAACACAAAATTCAAGTTTTAAAATACCAATTACATTAGAGACTTAAGGGACCAGGTAACAAGTAAGGTATCGCATGTCAGGTAAATAAAAATCACACAAATACTTGATATATTGCAAACCAACCACAAAGGATCAAATCCCGTGAATGAATTATTCGTTTCATCAAATATGAAACTGCTGGTACACAATTGGTCAATAATTACCAATTCATTCATGTTCATTTCATCAAAAGATAGTTACAGATTAGTACTGTGCAACTGCTAAACTTATAAACATATACTAATAAGCTGCTGTTAAACAACTGGTCAATAATTACCAAATCATTCAAACTCTACCACTAAGAATAGTCTCCACTAGATCCAGTCAGTTTCACATGAACAATAATGACATAACACAACTAAGCGTAACCAGATCTACTCAGATTATATCTAAGCAAAAGAGATCGGAAAATCAACAACCAGGAAAACGTAGCTCCAACAAGCAGCACCAAGTTAATCAAGCTCAGGACAAAGATCCATAACCTCCAACATCAAACAAACTTAACAACACTGGATCTACTAAATTTGTCTCCTACGGCTAGATCAATCAGCATATACTATACCAAAAAGAACAAAAATGTGCTAATCAAAAGAGTGGAAACCCAGATCTTACCGAAAACAGTGTTCGTCGGATTCATAGCAACCTGGTTCTTAGCAGCGTCGCCGATGAGCCTCTCGGTGTCCGTAAACCCGACATACGACGGCGTGGTCCTGTTTCCCTGGTCGTTCGCGATGATCTCGACACGATCGTGCTGCCACACGCCGACGCACGAGTACGTCGTTCCCAAATCAATTCCAATAGCGGGACCTTCGCCTTTGCCGGCCATTGCTTTTCAAATTGTAGATCTGAACCTTCACAGATGAGAGAGCGGGTTTTTAGAGAGAGAAAAGTCGAAAGCTAAGTACTACGGCGAGCTAGGGTTTGCGAGAGGAGGGGTGTTGTGTGGGTGTGACAGTATTTATAAGGAAAGAGGCGCGAGGGCTGAATATTCACAGGCCTCTCTAGAATGTTCGGATGCTCTAATGTTTTTACAGCCGTAGGATTAGTGGGAAGGTAATGGACGGTGACGATTTGCTGTGTTTGATTGGTTAACGTGTTGAGATGCCGACCATTGGGGTATTTCGGCCCTTTTTGTGTGGTGGGAAGTTGGAAAGCACCAGCTGTTTTATTGGTTCTTTGCTTCCGTTTAGGAAATGTATATACTCTACTCGTGTATTTTAGGTGTTTGATAAAAAAAAATTATTCTTAAATTTAAAATTGGATGAAATCTTTTTTTTTTAATTTTATTTTTTTTAATATATATTATTATATATTTCAAAAATAATAGTTTTCTAACTTATATCATATATCTAGTTTAGACTTAAATATATTAATTGATAAATAAATTTATTTTTCTCATTAATATTAACAAATAATTTTATTATTATTATAAGGATAAATATAATTTATTTATTTTATACGTACAATATGGATCTTAAATCGAAGTTTATCAAAATGGTTAATATTCAGTATATCTATTAATTCATAATGAGACAATAATATTTAATTGAAATAGTGACTAAAAATTAGTAAAAAAATATTTGTTTTCCTGCGTAAATTAATATAATTAATGGACAAAATCATTTTAATCAATATATAAAACCTACTTACAACAGCGAGATAAACTAAATCAATCTATCTCATAAGAACATATGCGCGATATTCTAACGGCAAAATTTCATTTTTGGTCCATTATATTGGCTATTTTCCATAAATGGTCCACCAATTTGGCAGACATCAAACCTGATACAATAAGTTGTAAAATTCATCATTTTTGGTCCATAAGCATACGTGGCGTTTTATCGGACGAATACGTGGACAAGTTTGATGTCCGCCACGTAGGCTCCTGTGTGATTAATGGACAAAAAATGATGAATTTTACAACTTATTGTATCAATTTTGATGTCCGCCAAATTAGTGGACCATTTCTGGAAAATGGTCAATATAATGGACCAAAAATGAAATTTGGCCATATTCTAACTATAGAATATATAAACAAATATTCTAACACAGATTTATAAGTTCTTAATTCTAATACAAATATGCTAAATTATAGAATTTATAAATGATTTTGATTTATTTTTTAATTAGTTTCTAAAAAAAAATTATATATATATGACGTGTCTATGAGTTATTTATATATGATTCTGTTTTGGTTGTTGTATTTTACAAAAATATCAAAAATTGTAGTAACCATGTAAAAGAGATTGTTGCCTTAATAAGGCAACAAAGACGGGTGATGAACCATTGTTTTTAAAATCGGACCAAATCGGCCAGACAAACTGACTGGTTGACAGTCAGAAGACCGTTCGGTTCACTGGAATAAAGCGGTTGTTAGCAAATCAATAAAAAACTAGTCAACGACCAATTAATTCAGTCAAAACAAACCAAAAACCTACTAGTCGAATCGATGTGAACTTGTCTAAATTTTAAATATTTTTATTAAAAAATACATATTTATAAGTTAATTTAATTTAAATATTGGAATGCTTTAAATTGTATAAATATTTAATTAATATTGTTTTTATGTATAGATCTTATTATATAAAATAGTATATATACTTAAACATATTAATAAATTAAACACCGAGCAAACTTGATCACCCATTAGTCCGATCAATGAACCATTGAACTAGTAGTTTGACCAGTTCGACAACCAATTCAGTTTGGGAAAAACTCTCATCTCATATTTCTCAAGGATAAAAGATAATATAAATAAAAAAAAAAAAAATATTTAACTAACTCTCCAACACTCCAACCCTCGGTATAAAGTGTCCACTAAAGTTCGGTAATAAAATGATAAGAGAAATAATAAATAAATGAAAGGATACATCTACTATGATTTTCCTTGGGCTTCTTCATCTTCATCGCCCTTTTGGCCACCTACAGTTTGCAATTCGATCAGCTTCTGCTTTTCCTCATCACTCTCACCGACCTTAACAACTTCACTGCTGGCTTTCGGCTTACCGCTCGTTGACTGCTGATACATAACTCCACCTGCCATGCAAATGAGGAGCCCCACAGTCCCCACAACCGTTGAGTGCTTGTCCCAAATAACCAAATTTATCACCACCGTCAAAAGCTTATTCACTATCCCAAGAACTGTGAACCCTGTGGCTGAGATCGCCCTACGGCACGAAAACCCGAAAAACGAGATCGCCAGCCCAAACAAACACGACAACCCAACTGGCAAAACCACCCCAAACGAGTAAGGCCCATCATCCGAGATATCACGCTCGATTTTCTTCAACTCCCCCATCACAAGCAACTCCAAAGGAAATAACAGTAGAGCCTCGAGATTGTTATACAACACGAGCCCCCACGTGTTCAACCCGATTGTCATCACGACATGCTTGATGTAAACAAAATCTATGGACATGCTCACCAAATACGCGAGAGCCCAGCTATAGGCTGCGAGCGTGAACTGGTAATCGGTTATCACGTAAAGCACACTACCGGCAAATATAGTGGCGAGCGAGAGCCAAGTCTTCAGAGCTGGCCACGGCTGGTGCAAGTAAAGGGTTTCGCCAATGGCAACAAAAATGGGCACGGCCGAACGAAAAACAATGAAGGTGTCGACATTCGCGTGAAGGAGAAGCTCGCTGTTGGTGAATAACGACAGATAGAAAATAAAAGCGGCTGGCAAGAAGCGCCACATCGTGAGAAGGTCGAGCTTGTCGTGTTCGATTAACTTGAGCCAACCGCAAATGACGACCCCCATGAAACTAGTCAAGTATTGCAGTGCAGTTAGGGCTCCAGGGTATGGGAATTTCATCACAGCCCATTTGTTGATGATCGATAGTAATGAGGCCGAGATGCAATAGCCCGCGGCTATTCCGTAAACTGAGGCATGTTTGATCAAGGCATCACAACAAGAGGAGAGGGGCCCGGGTGATGTGTTTTCTTTATCAGGGTTTTCGACATCGTTGGACATTTGATCTGCATCTACATTTTCAGCACAAAAATGGGGAAAGTAGATGAGTATAAGATTGGAATTTCATTCACACAATGGGCTTGAAAGGATTCACACACAAGCATACAGAGTGTACCACTGAGAAGGAAATTGGTACACTTCTCACAGAGTATTTCATTTACAGCTATTTATTATAGTTGTTAAATTTATTTCTTCTACACTTAAAGTTATTATTTTTCAGGTTAGCTGGGAATTCTTGAGACAATACTTTGTGGCAGCTGAGTAACAGAAAAGATTTGGGTATACTTTTATGAGAACACAAGAACTTTAAGATGAAACTGTAGAATAGGTTTACAGTGGGAGATAATGTTATTGTTTCTTTAAATTACTAATTCTACATCCATGCGCAAGTTCATACTCGTTTCCAAATAAAACGCATTAGATCAGATGTATTCCCATAGAAAACAGGAAAGCAACACAAACCTATAAGTAAAGATAGGATACGGATCCTATATCCTATCTAATACACTACTGCCTCACACATGATATAAAATTTCTGAAATAACAAATTACGGAAGAAAGTTGTGAAAAGATAATTTCAAGATCAATAATCAAGACCATAAACCCTCCAACACATTTAATAAAACCATAAGCAGTTCCCAACCGAAAAAACAACCCCACAAACATTCGTGATTACATGTAAAGTTGCATAAGGATTGTATCAATTAGGAAAAATAGAAAAGGAAATATATCAAGAGTGCAGCATGATTTTGCTTGAAAGCCAAAACCAGAAGAGAACACTGAAAGTAATTTGTCCGGAAAGAGGATCAACAAACAGAACAAAGAATACAAAGAACCATGAGGGGAAAACCATATCAAGTGAGGGAGGAAATACAAGTCAGTTCTGTTTACAAACAAAATCATGAGAATCAAGAACCCCAAGTGCTAACATAGAAACAAAGCCAAATGCAGAAACAAATAAATTGAAACAAAACTCCATCTAAAATATGTACCAATCCAAATTAATTACGTACAGAAAAGGAATTCGGGATTCATATCGGCAGTATTTCCCTCCAAGATACGGTGAATGTTAAGCCAAACATCTTCAATAAAAGGATATATTTCGGAAAAGTTGAAATCAATGTATTATGCCTTGGTCTGCTATGTATCTGGAGTGAAAACCCAGTTACTCTCAGAGAAGAGAGAGGCTATGTATCTGGAGTGAAAACCCAATTTGATTCAACAACCGATAGTTACGAAAATTCGTAATGTGCACAACATACTATTAAGCTGCTATACAATTGGTCAATAGTTACCAAAACATTCACATTACTGTCACCAACGCAACAGAGGGATATCAATAACCAGGAAAACGTAGCTCCAACAAGCAGCACCAAGGTAATCAAGCTCAAGGCAGAAGTCCATAACCTCCACATCATACAAACTTAACAACAACAACAAAATCAAGCACTAGATCTACTAAATTTGTCTCCTACAGGTAGATCAAACAGCATATACTACACCAAACAGAACAAAACTGTGCTCATCAAAGGAGTCGAAAAACAGATCTTACCCAAAACAGTGTTGGTCGGATTCATAGCAACCTGGTCCTTCGCAGCATCACCGATGAGCCTCTCGATGTCCGGGAGCCCGACATAGGACGGCGTGGTCCTGTTGCCCTGGTCATTGGCGATGATCTCGACACGGTGGTGCTGCCAGACGCCGACGCACGAGTAGATTTAAATCTTCACAACTGAGAGAATTCTTTTGAGCATCTCGGAATAATTGACGGATGTTCTCAATATTACATGTTTCTCATATTTACCCACGAAAAATCATTTAATATAATTATTTTTCCCAAATAAATGTGAATTAAGTGATTTCTATAAAATACACAATAATTCACCTAATATCTCAGAATTACATGCATTCCACAATCTACCTATCCAAATTTACATGACACAAAGAGGGCCTATGGAACGTTATCTGGAAATGGGAGGATCCACATCCGGTCCGTCACTTCTTATGGCTTGCGGCTCGTGATAGTTTATTGACGAATGAAAATCGGCAACGTCGACACATGGTTCCGAGCTCGACGTGCACGATTTGTTTGGTGGACTGTGAATCAACGTTACATGTCGTATGAGATTGTCATGAGTCGATTAAAACTTGGAAGAGGTTGGTTCCTAACACTTCGTGGCGTGTGTTTTTTTCGTTGGACCTTAGAAGTTGGTTCCTGGCAAAATCTATCTGCATGTATCACCTCGGCAATGGAAAATTGGAACTCCTCATTTGGTCTCACAACTTGGTGTTTATGGCTGTGGTGGAATTTAAAATTATTCCAAAGGGACCGACACTATCATGGCTCAACGGGTTGGAGAGGTATTTTCCTATACGCGGGGCACTGTCTAGTGGCAGAAAAGTAGGAGTCCTTGGGATGCCTGAAACGCATTGGATTTCTTAGTCTTGCCCGACGAAGGACGAGCTAAAGGTCAGTACGGATGGCGGCTTTGTTCCAGCGACGGGGATGGCAAGAGCATGTGGTGTCATTCGAGACCCCATCGGACATGGGTGCGTGGGTTTTTTTTATAAATATCGGATTCTGCTCGGTGTCGAATTATGGGGTTGTTCCAAATCCAACAATTGGCCTAGGATATCGGGGTCCGAAAAGTTGAGTTGAGGTCGACAATAAGAGCATCATTGAGATGGTACAATATGATAAATACAGGGGTGCGCATGG